TGGAGGAGCAGGGGGGGGGGGGGGAATTATGGTGCCTGCAAGGAGGAAGATAGGGAAGATGAGAACAGAAAGACATGGGAAAGCAAGCTGGGACCAACCCTTGGCTAGGTAGGGTCTAGCAAACACCAAGGTCAGCCCCTCAGGTGCTGCAGGACTTGGCTTTGGGGCCAAGCCTTGGGGCAGTGAGGTGGCGGCACCACAGGATGGACTGGGAGATGGCAAAAAAGGGCTTTGTAGCTGCCGGAAAGGAGACAGGATGCTCATGCTGCCAGCTCCTGGCTCTGACAGATTTTATTGAGAAGAGCAAGGCTGGGATGGGGCTGAGAGCACAGGAGGGGCCCCCAGCACCTCCCATTTCCTCCCTTCCCCACGAAGAGGGCTTCCCAGGCCAGCTCCCTGCCTGGGCCTGCCCCGTGCCAAGGCTTGGGCAGATGCAGCCCTGCAGCCTTGCTTCTCCCAGGTTTCCTTCCTCCCCAGCTGTGCAGCAACTGCTGCCACCACCCTTGGAGCCAGCTCCCTGTGTAATATCATGCTGTCCCCAGCCCACTCCAGCAGCACATCTACGAGCTCCCTGCCCTGCAAGATCCCCTGGAGCACCAGCATGCACCTCGGGCTCCTCATCCTCACCCCCAGGCCTAGTTAGGCATCCTTCTGTCCCTGCTGCAGACGGCACACAGGTGGAGGGCAAGGGAGAGTCCTTCGCTCCAGGGCCGTGCTCCTGCCAGGCGCCAGCAAGAGTCCAGTCAGCCCTTTCCTGCCAGGTGCTCCCTTTAGCAGCCGTCGCTCCCCAGCCTCCAGGCTGCGGAGGGGCACAGCTCCGTAGGTCCAATGTGCTAGGCAGAAACGCAACTGGCTCAAACCCCGACGGCAGGAGGAGCGGGACCACAGGCACAGTGGAGGCTACCTGCGCGGCGTGCCACATCTGCAAAGAGAGCGTGGCACAGGGTAAGCACCACAGGTCTGCATGTGCCAGACAGGTCCACGCTCACCCCAACTGCAAGTGCCCAGGCTTGGCCCTCCCCTGCACCCTACTTCTGTCACCAAGCCATGGGCAGGGTCCATGAGCAGCCTCTTGGGGGGCTGGGGCTCATGGAGGACAGAGGGGGACATGGCTGTGTCAGGCCCAGCATGCTGGGATGTAGGTGCTGGCTGAGCCTTGAGCAGCAAGTGTCACACAGCAGGAAAACAAAACAAAACACGGCAGGAAAATGCTGACTTCAGGCTCTATACCCCAGAAGTGTCCACAGCAACAAGAGTCCGGTACAGACTGCTGCATCAAGCGGTTCGGAGGGGTCAGCTAAATATAAGGCCGGAAAGGACAGAGTAACCCAAACAACGGCTAGCCAAGGACTGCAGTAAGGACATGGCTGGCAGCAAGATGAGGCTGAAACTGGAAATTAATGGATATATAAAAAGTGTGGTCTGTGATGGCAATTTATCTACACATCATCGAATCATCCAGATCTGTTCCCCAGCCCCATGTTTTGCACCGCTATTCACAGCATCAGTTAGACCTAAAAACTTAACTGTTTATTCTGAACAAATTAACCTAAAAGACACAGCCCGTATCTCCCCCTGCTCACTTACAGTTCACAGTCTTTACGTCTCCTCTTGTTTTGTCTTCTCTTACCTCGGCCCTTTGATCTCCTCCTTCAAAAGAAAAGGAGCGCAAGAGACTGACGTGTGGGAAGCGAGAAGCAGTACCCCCACCTGCAGCGTCTCTCCCAGCGCCACTTACCTCCCGAATTTCATCAGGTCCTGCCGCGGCCTGGGGAGAAAGGACAGAGGGGAAAGGTTACTTGGACAGTGCTATCTATGGAGCTTCTGGAGGTGGTTTATTGAAACACTTCAATGCGTAGCACAACCTAGATGAGTTACGACTCAAGCTTAGGACAGACCCAGCACGACTTCTCCCCACATTATCAACTCCTCACCCAGTAGCAGACTGCAACATGCAGAAAGAAAAGAGACAGCAAAGGGGCAGGAGATGACCGACTGCTACAACTCCCCTGTGGGCCATGACATTTTGCCCATCAGGACATGAAGCATAGATTCAGTTTTTAACTGCTCTCAGGGACTGTTTGCATTTCCATATGCCATCTGCTCTATGAAGAGTCCCAAGTAACATACAGGATTTGCTTCAAAAATCTCAGTTCTCAGCAGCCATGACATACTTGGACTCACTATTCCCAGTAGGAGCCCATGCCGAAGCTTCCACTCCACTTCTGCTAAAATTCAAAGAGGAACAACATAAGGATGAGGAAAGCTGCTTAGAGAGAAGCCAAGAGTGTTGCAGATACAAAAAGTTTACATAGGTTCAAAGGCAGACTGCACAAGTACTTCAGAGATCCGCTGGGAGTTACCCTAAGTAGGAAAACCACATCAGGCTCAGGAAATTCCCTGCAGGGAAAGTAGCTGGAGGCAGGGGGAAGTAACGCATGTGCTGGTTCCCACTCCTCCCTACACATCCACCGATTGATTGCTCTGGAGACAGCACTGAGCTACTCGAGCCATGGGTCTGCTCCAGCACAGCCATGCTTATGGCTACAGGGGGAATACCGGCACAGGGATCCTCAGGCTCTTCCAGGCAAGGATCACATCCAGCAGCTGCCCGGCAGGACACTCATTCCCCAGTTTTTGCAATAACAAATTGTCTTCAGGCTGTGATGGAGAGCAGATGCCAAGATTCGCCGCATGGGAGAACAGACCCACGAGGTGGTGCTGGAGAGGCTCTGCACCAAGGGCCAGTGCTGCTCCAGCTGCATGCACGGAGCCCAGACCGTCCGAGCTTGCACAGCAGCGTCAGCACTGCAAGAGGTCCACATCGTGCCTGGGCAGTGCCATGTGTCCGGGCCGAGTCAGTGCTGTGCATCCGTGCCTGGTCAGGTCGGTGCCATGTGTCTGCACCAGGTCAAGCCTGGGGATTTTTAAGCTTTCGTTTGTCAGCCCAGACCCCTCCCTGTGAGTCAACCCAAAGTCCCCATCCCCAGATGGGATGGCCCCCTCAAGATGGGGATTCAAGGCTCAGCACTTCAGCTTTCTCTCTAAGCCACAGTCATCCTCGGGTGCGCCGGGGCCAGGGCTCTCCCCCGAGCCAGCGCCTGGGGCGAGCTGCCCCAAACCAGCCCTCGCATTTGGGGCCACCAGCCTTGCCCAGCTCTCGCCAGGCAGCTCACAAAGGCTGCCTGCAGCAGGCCATTTGCCCGGGACACACGCGCAGCAGCGCCACAAGCTGGCGAGGCTGCTCTGGCTGCAGGGGCACAGCGGTGCCCAAGGGTCCCCACCTGCACTCGCAGCGCTTGTGCTCAGTGAAGGCCATCTCCACATACGGCGCCTCTCCGCTTGGCTTTATCTTCAGGAGCTGAAAGAGGAACAAAGGTTATTGCCTGGTGTGCAGGAGCAGACGTGGCTGGAAGGACTCAAGGCACTGTCTCGCCTCCTCCACCCCGGGGCATGCTCGCTTCACCCCAGCCTCTGGGTCCCCAGCCTCTCATATCTAACCTGCTGCTCAGGACCTCCGGCAGCCGAGCCTCCACCTCTGCATGCAGCTCAGCCAGGCCCAGCAGCTCAGGAGGCTCTCCGGGTGCCTCGCTGTGTCTTCAGGGCTGAAATTTAAGTAAGTCCCCTCTTCTTGGGACTTCCCAACCTTAGGGCAGATCTCCTGCCTCTGTGGAGACCTTTCACATATTTGACCACTTGGCATCTTTTCCTTCGCTGAACTAAATCTCTCTTCTAGGTCATGTTTTCTAGACCGTTCCCACTGCTGCTGCCTCCTCCTGCCCCCTTCCCACAGCCTCCCGAGGGCTCCCCAACCCAGGGGAACAGGATTTGCCCTACCACGTGTCAGTCTGCACCACCTAGCCTGGAGTTTGGGTCAGACGTCTGGGAACGTTCCTCTGTGGCGTGATCCCCACTAACGCCCCGCAGGAGCGCTCCTAGCCCAGCACTGCCACCCCACACGCGTCTGCTGGATCCTGACCGCCCTGGAGCTTGGGGAAGTGCCGCCTCCTCCTATTTATTTCAGACTTCTGTTCCACCTAACTCAAGATTGTTTGGGAATGCCAGCCCTGCCTTCCAACTTGCTTTTGACCCTTGAGGGGCCAAAGCCACTGGTGATTTGCTGCCAGCGCTCTAGTCCATCACCCATGGCAAAGCAGAGCTATTCGTCTGCTCCCTGTGGTGACGGCAGGTCAGTCTCTGACAGCACAGTGAGAGAGCTGCAGAGAGAGGAGGACAGCAGCTCTGCGCGTGGGGAAGAGGCAGCCAGCTCAGTTTGTTTAAAGCCCAGGATTTCCCACAGCTCCACAACAGGACTGGAAACCCGGCATGCACAGCCCCTCATGTTCACCCTGCCCCCGGGAAAAGGGCATCCAGCGCGTGCCTGCTGTCAGTGCAGGCATCTCCTTGGCACCCGGAGCCAGGATGCAGGGAAACCATTCCCTGCGCCTCAGGGGGAGCCGGTGCTTTGCCCCAGCAGGCAGGGTCTCTGGCCATGGGGACGCCCCTAGTGCGGCAGTGGGGCCCAGGGAAGGTCCAGCAAGGCAACAGCATTCAGCAAGACAGACCATGCAGAAGCAGGGCAGGGAAGCAGGGAGCAAGGCTGGTACTGCCAAGGGCTTCATCTACCCTCAAGGATAAGCCTTAAAAGCTGGCGGGGGGACCCTTCCAGTTTGGCATGAGTTTCAGCAGTTCTGAGTAAGCCAGACCCTCCCCCCCATCCCCTGTTATCCACACTGCTACCACGTCCTGAGGATGTGAAGCTGCAAGGTTCAACCTCCTGGCACCTGGCAAGGAGCCCGCTTCCCCGGCTGTCGCTGCAGGCCCTCACCGAGCCAGCGCTCACCTGCATGGTGACCGTGCTCGTCTCCACGGGGACGCAGCGGAGCCCCTCGTCTCCGCAGCAGCCTCCGCAGCGCTGCAGGGAGACGCAGGAGGGTCTGAAGATGTACTCCACCTCGTCGGGGAACTCGGTAATGACGTCCACCAGCTGCTCCAGAGGACGGCAGAAACTACGATTCCAGATCTCCCGAAAGGTCACAACTGGAAGAGACCCACGGGGCTATAAGAAGGCGTCCAGAGCGCCCGGCACCGGCCCACCCTCTGACGCTCAGTACCAGGTGCCAGAACAGGACCTTGAGGTGGCAGGCACAGCAGCCGCGGCAGGGTGAGACGCAGAGGACCCCTTTGCACCCTCAGCAGGCTCCTCACTGCACTGGTGCACGGGCCAGCACAGTTGCCACATCCACCTCGATGGGCTCTTTCTCCCCCTGCCTGCCC